CTCATTACAAGTAGGCAGGATGCAACTGTCCACGCTGCGCCAAAGACCGGGTTCCAATCATTTCGGGCGCTTTTTACTTAGATCCTCGCGCTGACAAGCCCGATGACCAACTCTAAGTACCTAAAGTGTAGTGCCACAAGCTATCCATGGTCGTGTCTCTCAGGCTCACTGAATATGCTGGCTGGCAAGAACAAACACATCAGAGAAGACTTGATCAAAGGCATCAATCCTGTTTATCACCGTTCGAATCCAAGACTATTTAACACCATGCTTCACAAGCCGAAAATCTACCGTCTTGCGGCAAAGTTCCCCTCTTCACCGCGAGGCTCGAGCAATCCGATTCTAACCGAAAAGGCTCGGGCACCTCAATTATCCCTTCAGCTTAGATGTATTATGAGCACTAAAAGATCTCCCTGAATTAATGGAAAACGTCCTTTCCCCTCAAGTAAGTTCAACCGAAGCCCTATTAACGCTACAACCCACCGCAACAAACATCGCAGCTTGCCTGCGGAATCACATAACTTGATGAGTGCGCAACCGCTCATGGCCGTTTAACTCTACTCCACCCAGTGTGGTAAAACACACAGTTACTACAACCAGCCACACCTGATTGTACATGCGTCTATCCCAGCCCATATCTAGCTAAACACTGTTTGCATTACCTGTTTTTACGCCTTTGCTTTCTCTTTCGTTAGGTTAACAGGCATTTCCAATGTCGCACATAGCACTTTGGAGACCCGGTCCCGCTTCTGTAAACAATTTCCGGAATGTCTCAGTCTTCAAAAGAACTTGACACTGGTGTTTTTCTGAGGGGCTTCTACACCGACCACACCAATGATTCTCATCCACAAGGATCCTCGGCCAAACCATAAAACCTGCGACCTCAGATCGGATTTGTTCTACCTCTGTGGATTTCCTTGGTTAACTTGAGAACATTCTCGCTGCTGGAAGAACTGCACATTCCAGCCAAACGACCTAAAAAATGACGGCCGTTATTGGGCTATCCAGAAACTGAAGCATATCAGGGCACTGGCGGCACGGCACTTCTATATCCAGCTTGCTCACACCCACAACTATTCCCTTCTTACTCTTGAACGTACCCTGTCACCCACAGTATCCATTAAATACATATGCGGGCAAACTCCTGACCTGGGCCCAGCCGCCTCAAGGATGCGTTCATTCTAATTTGCTGAACCTTTCGTTTATGACTAGCCATTTTGGTGGGTTCCGGTCTATGATGCCCACGAATTCAATAATTTTCTCAACAGTTCACGTTTTAACCTGTATTCTTACCAACTCACTCTTCCAAGGAACAGTTACACCCGACTCTACCATAACAGTGACATTAGCAACTCTCAACAGTTTCACCGTACACTATGACTCTGAGGTTCCTGCTGCCATTTACCGGAGTCGGCGATCCCTGCGCTTCTTTAGCCCCAATCGCGCCCATCATGAGCACGGCTAAGAGCCCAACAGTCCATGGCCACACGGCCTCAGCCGTGGTTTCAGGTTGTGGTTCAGATTAACCGACTGGGTCACGTCAACTCTGCTACTTCTCTAAATCAATTGTTCTGGTTCCTCATTTTCCGCAATTTGCAACTTTTCTCGTGTGTAAAGCAGGATGCCCTTTGTCTTACCCTCCCCTTTTAGTTTATTTTCCCGAAACATTCAAATTCTAACGATCTGATTCTGCTTTAGCTCGATACGCACCGGTAACCGTGTTCCATTTCTCGTAACGGTTTAGAGGTGACCGCGCCTACATCATATAATGCCCAATGTAACACCGCCCGCCTTTCGTGCAATCCACAGTGTCAACAAATCTTGCAAGACTTGCTTTGTGTTGACTGTATGATTACGCTCATGCCTGATAGTGCGGCGCCAACCAGATGGAAATGAACGCCATCATTGTATCAAACGGTTTTTGTGCTACTCATAATCGATGGTCTTCTGAGCTTTATATTCTTTACCAATACATGACCCCTATCATGATATCTGTGAAGATAAATCAGAACTGCGTGAATGCAGTCTGCGGTCTGGGCCCTTCCCTGCAAAATGTTGGTTTACGATTTATTGCTGTGAATGTCCTGCTCCTGAATGAAGACGCCATAGTCGTTAATCACGCGAATTCGCCTGCGCCAATTTCACTTGCCTGGTCCCACACATGCACAACTATTAAGTCTGCTAACCAACTTAGTCATTCAACTTTCGGCTCCTCACCCGCGGAGGAAG